TCTGAGATTGGGAGAGGTGAAAAGAGAGTCTACAGCATTTCACAGAAGGAATCCTGATGAGATATGGCTTAAAGTAAATACAAGGTTTTAATAATAATTAATAAAACATGTTGTGAATACCTTACAAATGACTGATACATAATAAATGAATCATACAAATGTATTCATTAGCCAAAATTATCATACATAATCATTAAATTTTCTGAAAAATTTATGCTAGGGGGAAAATCCTGTCCTCAGATGTATTTGTGCAGCTTCCCTTGGCTTCAGTGCAAACCTGCATGGGCACCGAGGGCTGTCATGGGTGCATTAACAGCACTGGGAAGAGAGTTTTATACTCAGAGAAGTACATGCATTCACCCTGCTATATTTCTAACTTAAAAACCAGGCTGTGTATTAAATGAAATTCCATAGCCCAAGGAATCTTTGCCATGACTTCGCATTCTGCACAAGTGAGAACTGTTACTGGAGGAAATGTGATTTATGAGACAAAGTTTTCTTTTGCCTCAGTTTTCTTAGGACTTTGACTATCTGTTTAAGCAGGTGTACGGCGTTTGTGGTCACACTGCCCAGGGAGGCGTTGAATGAAGTGTTCTTCTAAAGTGAATGAGAACTTTGTCTAAAGGCTTCTTTAAAAGCTGGACGACACAGGCCCTGGCTTATCAAGACCTTGGCCAGGGAAGTCATGTCCAGGCACTGTTCCTTCTGGAAAGGATTCTTGCCCTTTGGAGGTCAAATAAAAATCTACAAACAGAACTATTTTCTCAAGAAATTAGGCCCACCAAGCACAAGAATGGCTTTCTGGCCAAGCTTTCTGGTCACTGACAGCCCTGAGCTTCCTGCAAGGTACCGCCAATGCATGTATCTGTCTCATCAGTGCTGAATTTCCCCAAGCTCCACTTGTTGACACATCCAGGAGTTCCCTCCCTGGAAGAACTGCAGATCAGACCGGTGCAGTTCAAAGATTAAGCAGAAGTTGGCCGAAAAACCTGGGGAGGAGAGGAGATCAAAGTTTATCAACAGCAGAGACCTTCAGTTATGGTTGCGGAGGAGGAAAGTAAGGGCTGATCTCAGGACATGGCTGTTGTGTTCAGCTCCTGTTACAAAATGGGTGAATTTGAGAGTCAGACATGGAAGAGCAGATTGCAGAGAACTGTAGCAACAATGTCAGAGAGTCTGAAAAAGCTAAAGCATTTTTCCCTAGGTGGAGTACAGAACACTGCAAAGATGGGAGGGAGAATTCAGTTTTGCTTGCCCAAAATGAATGCATTATCTGTGTTTCCATTAAAGTCTCCTGCAAACATAGGACCATGGAGAAAAGATCCATAAATCATTTTTCTTCAACACACATTATTTATTTCTTCAACTTCGATGCTGTTTCACCCTATTACCTATACGATTACTGCTCCAGATGAATAAGTGTTTTAAATGCAGTGACATGCCTTGAAAGAAAACATACTTTCTTTAATCATTGCAGAAACTTGCCGTGCCACAGCTAAGTGGCTGTCGTGTAACAGGTTTTAGAATTTGATTACAGCACCATCTACTGGGTATTCAACTTTTTATTTCCCCAAACCCTTCCCAGCATCTCTTTCTATTGCGGTAAAAGTATAGGATCACTTTCAGAAAACAATTGCAGGAAAAAAAAATAAAAATGGTTGTAATCTCATTACGGCCTAAACTCAAAGGCTGTTGAAACTGCTGCAAATATTCTTTGGGATTTGGATCGGGCCATTTCCGGTTGTGCTCAGATGGAGTCATGCTTAAATTATCAGATTGGACTCAGTGATGAAAAGCAGATCTAAAGAGTGAGACAGCATGTTTACTGCAATATGTTTCATATAATTATATTGAGGGATCATCCATTTAAGTAGTGAGAGCATTACAGTACTGAATGGGTGTGCCTAGGCAGGTAGGAGTGAGCAAACAAATGTGATGTCCTCAGGCAAAATAACTGAGTGGCAGCAGAAAGCGCTGAATTAATTTAAACAAAGAAATTTCACTTAAGGGATTAATCAGTTAGACTTAATTCACACTGTATAATAGGAGTCTCTTGTACTACTTGCGAAAAAATTGATTTCCTCCTGGAGAGGGGATATGTCTAAAAGCTGATTAGTGGAAACAACAATTAGAATATTTTTATTCCCCAATGATTGTTCATTTTGCACATAATCCAAGCTCCCACTGACTTTTACACAGCTGTACATGTTCTGGACATACTCCTGCTAACACGAGAGTAGAGCTGTATGCCATCTGCCAGTACCAGGATCCTGCTCAAATAAGTTACCATTTGATACAGTACAGCCACAACAAACTATTTGCAGTTGCTGGTGCTCTTATTTCTGCCCATTAGTGGATTTATTGTGGTTATTCATTATTTTGGCCTTCAGGTGAGAAAAATTCAGGCTGTCATATCGCTTTACTAAATGAACTGGCAGAAGTAGGAACTGGTACAAGAAGTCCCCTCCTGATGGAGACCTGGTCCTTACAGCAGAATTTGTATTTTGGTCCACCTGGATGGTCCCAGCCCTGTGGTAATCCCCAGAAGAGCCTCAGAGCCCTTTTGCTCACCATTCCTCTTGCTGTTGCATAGAGTGATCATGGTATACAGTGCTACACTTGGTAGATGAACAAATACAAAAAGATCTCCCCCCAACTGACCCTGTCTATCGTTTTTGGTCAGTTACTAGCTTTACACTAATCTAGCAACTGCGTGAATGAAACCCAGAAAATAATCTGTGTAGAAAAGAGCAGCCTCATTTGCCCTTTTTGCATACTAGCACTTGATGAATTCCTTCTTGAGATGATCCCTGCCAGGAATAAACTCTCCTGGATATCCAAGCTGAAGGACAACCGATAAAGGTGGCCTATGCAGCCATTCTCAAACTTGTCATATTTTCCTCAGCATCCTTAAGACTGATAGTGTAAGAAAGATGAAGTACTGCAAGACATCCTTATCTCACAGGGAATCCAATCATACAAGCCTTGCAATAGGATTACAGACTACCTCTGTGATTGCTTCTGATAGTCTTTGCCATGTGCATTCTTGAGAAACCCTCCAAAGGGCACAAGTCCTCCACTGAGCGTGACTCCAGATCTCCTCCAGTTTCCACCAAACATTTACCCCCTTGTTCAAACCTTCAATTTCTGCAACTAAATCTGTTTATTGTTTCATTAAAAATGAAGTTGCTCATCTTCCTCTTTGCAAAGAGCTTCACCATGTACGAAGGCTGTTGCAAGTATCAACTGGCACATCTCGGACTTTCTGAGCTCAGAACTGGAGTTGGAAAGATTCACAGACTTCTAGATTTTAGTTGAAAGGAAGGCTCTTTTACTTACAAACTTGGTAGTCAGACTTCTAATCTGTCTGTCTGTCATCCATCTATCTATCTATCTACCTACCTACTACCACCTACCTACTTATCTATCTTGACAGTGCAAAGAGATGATGATGATGAGGATGGCAATCCAAAACCAGGGGAGGAAATGGGGCTACCTGATGATATCTCCTATTCACTTTGACAGTTTAAATGGAAAGCTTAAGCCTTTCATTTCCCAAACAGAATACCCAAATTTGGCAGAAGCAAGTGCCCTTGCCCATGCTTTCAGAGAGGTGCACAGCAGAACGATGCTAGATCTAAAGCAGTCCAATGAAAAATATATTTAGGACCTCAGGAAGATGAAATGCTTCCTTCCATATGTATGAGTTTTACTAAGCTAGTAATCCGCAGTTTAAAAAACTTTTTTAAATTTAATAAAGAGGTGATTTTAAACTTAGATCTGCAAAACACTCATACCTCCAGCACATTGCCTCGGTGAAATATCCCTCTACATGAAAATATAGACAGTTAGTTTTTTCTTCCAAAGTGAAACACTGCAAGGTCTTTCATTACTGGTTTATTATGCTTTCTGTATCTTTGCTCATTTTTCACCAGTATTGCATTAAGTATTGATATTGATTTCTTGTAAATGGTACTGAAATGGATGGCTCACAGTTTTTGTTATTGTTCTGTAGCACTTGTATGTAATTTATTATAGCTGCAATGGAACCTGCCCCTTGCTGCCAGGGTTTAAATTAAATGTGCCATGTTTTGGCCCGTAGTAGTCACATACATTTCTCATTCTAGAACTAAAAGTATTATATACAAAGTTACTTTTCTAATTGCTTCCTTAGTAGTACTTAAAAAGTTTATTTTAATGATTTTGGTAATTAATATGTAGTGCATTGGTTGAGTTAATAGTCTTTTTCTACTCCATTACAAAGACAAATTGCTGTCTGTAAAAGCAGCGTGGAGCAACCAGTAGTCATGACTGGTTTCTCTTCTTCTGAAGGCTGCCATGATGCAGAGCAGCTCCCACCAGTCAGTGTGTGGTGGACCTTGGACTTCAGCCGTGCAAAAACTCCTGAAGAGGTCATAAGGAAGAAAAAATTGGGATTGATCCTGAGAAGGAGCAGCCATACTGAAAGGGGATTTGTCTGGACCTGGCTTTAATGCAGTGGGCTTACTTTTGGACATCTGACTCGGACCATCAATTAACTTGACCTTCTGAGAACAAAGATCTAGCTGTGACAAAACTGTACTAAAGCAGAGAAACTCCTCATACCAAATGTCTCTGGTTCCATCACATAGGGGGTATTTAGAGGAGAAAATGTTGATTGAGAGAACATTGGTGGCTTTAAAGAAAATAACAACGTGATTGATAGGACAGTACCAAAGACGTTGATAATGGAAGAGACTTCGTATATATTACCCATTTTTATTTGCTGCCATTTTTATTAAAGAAAACTTGGCTATTCTGGCAGGGAGTATTTTTTCACTCTGTCCATGTATATGGGAGCTGTTGAGTCATGGTCTGAGCCACTGATTGAATGCCTAAGGAAAGGACCGGGTCAGCCCTGGGAGCACAGGTGAGGGCAATTCAGCTGTGTGACCAGAAGGGGTGGATCCTGGCTGCACCTCTCTTAGACCCCATTTAAGGGCTGCCTGGCTCTGGGGAAAGTTCTGTGGTTGGTGATCCCTCCCTTGTGGAGTCTTCCTCTGAGTGTAGATCTTCAGAGACAGGTGAGCTCTTTTTCTTTGTAGCATCTTCTATTGCATTGATTCCTTTGCTATTATGCCTCTTTTATTAGTCTTCACCGTGTTCTCCTTTCTGATTGTTACACCATGACAGATCCTGAGCCCCAGTGCTCTGAAAGGGGCTGAAGGAGAAGATGCACTTTGTGCTTTGTTCAGTACAGCTCAAAAGGCCATGGTTTCTTGCTGTGCTTTGCTTTCCTGCATTTGCACTGCCAGCCCTGAGTGTTGCTAAGCCATTATTTTGAAACTGTGTTGGTGTAAAGTGCATTAGTTCTAAGGTGGATTAGAAGCCATTTATAATGGGACTTAGAGCTTTTGATAGAAGAGTAACTTAAACCCTTTATAAAAAATATTAGTTCCAGTTCACTGAATAAACTCACTTGCTGTTTCACAATCTCTGTCCCACTCAGCTCCCTCTGTTGGCCCTGCAGAGTACCCAAGTTTGTCTCCCAGCTTGGTAAAGGAGGGACCTTTGATGCCAGGTAGGAATATTGCTGCAATAAGAGTTCACAGCTCCGTTTTAAAAATCCAACATCTGTGCAGGGGCTGAAGTTGTTGTTTGTAAGGCTGAACACAAAGCATGGCACAGCCCTAATTCTCAGGCACTGCAAGCTTTTATCAGGGCAGAGATCTGTGCTCCATTGCTATGTATGTATTGGGAATGGCTCTCCACTCTCAAAATGGTACTGTCACTTGCCAAATCATTTACCAAATGGCATCTTTAAGTTGAGTTTGTAGCTTGGTAGTTTACTGACTTAGGTTATGTCCAGATATCCTGTACCTGTACACTGGCAAGCCTCAGCTGCAACATGGGGACGATTTAGGTGTCTTTGGTCAAAGCTGTGGCTGAGCAGCAAACAGGGACTAAGCTCCAATGAATTAGAGAGCAGGTCTGACTGCTCCAAGTTGGGTGTATCACTTTCCTAGAGCTATTCCTAACCTTTCAGTGATAATAGAATCATAGAACGGTGTGATAAAGCCATCCTTAGGAATTGCCAAGCAAAGGATCCCCACGGGGCTGGTGCATGAGGCTGGGCTGAGGCTTGGCTGGGCTCCCAGCAGCTTGGCTGGGAATAACAGAAGGAAGAACTTTCACCTTCTGTGGGGCACTGGAGCTGTAAAACAGGGAGTATGATGAGGTGAATATTGCAGTTAAAAACAGAATTCTGTACAATTGTGAAATCCCTCACTGGTGCATAGCTGAAGTGATCCTATCTTTATCCAGGAAATCCTTACATATGTATACAACACAAATAAGTCCTGGTTGCATAATGCATTTCTGTCAGCTGTAAAAATGTGTTCTGTGCTTTTTTCACCATGAACTGCTGTCCTCTTGTGATTAATCTGGGACCACCTGGAACAACCCACCCCTGCTTACTGAAAACTGAGATATGTTTTAAGTTCTGAGGCTTAATACTCTATATATTTGTAACTGCTTATGCTTATACTTATGTCATCAAATGAAAATGAAGGTTGAGGACTGTTCTGGTGAATCATTCCATGGGCACACTGGCTTTTTTCTCAGTGCCTCACATTTTTGTAATTACACAGATTCTGATGGCTGCTTAGCTGGGACCTGGCCATTCCCTAGCACTAATGTGTTGAGTCACAAGCAGGAGGCAACTCACCCAAATGCCACTCCAATGGGAGAAAAACTCTTTGGGTTGAGAACAAAACAAAACACAGTTTCATCTTTTTCCTACATGTTTTGTTTCCCCCTACAGCAATGTAAAACTGTCAGGTAACAGCCATGGCTAACAGCTAGCAAGTATTGCAAGGCAAGGTTTGGTTTGGCTTTGGACTACACAAGCCCATGTTAATGAAATCTTGGTGTCCATCTCTGAGAGTAGAAGACTTTGTCATGATATGGATAATAACTGACTCTTTTTTTTTTTTTTTTTTTTCCCCTATGTCTCTTTCTTGTTTTTCATTAAATTAAAACTTGCTTGAGCTAGCACAATTCCATGTGTATTAGACCAAATAATGTGCCAAAAGTTCTTAGCTTTGTAATCACGAATAAATGTTGGGCCTTATACCTGATTTGCCAAATCATGGTCTGTACCACAGAAAAACTAGAATTCTCCTCTGTCTCCAGTCTTTGCATTATTTCCAACCACTGTATGTGCATACTGAGCAACTTGCTGCGCCTATGAGGTTTGTATGGAGCCTTGCAATGCCGAGAGAAAATATATTTACTAAAAAAGAAAAATTCATCATCTTCTTGATTTTTTTTCTCCTTCCAAAAAGCATATTAGCAACCCAGGCAGATTAGTTTCCCCATTGGAGGGAATCACTTTTGCTGTTTTTGCTTTGTGTTAGTTTGTTCAAGGCCCCAGGGAGCAACAGGTCCAGAATCCAGAGCTCATATTGCAACAGTGATGTGTTTTGCAGTAGCACAGCGGAAAATCTCTGCATCAGAGGTGTTAATCTGATCTGTCAGTATTGGTGTCCCGCACCTCAGCCCCAGTGCAGGAAATTAAAGGATGAGATCTGCAAGGGAACTATTTCATAATGCTTTAAACAAATGAACTCCTTAACATTTCATGATCTGTGTGAGATTGTTTTGTTGGTAGCAATACTGCCTGTGGTGCTGAGAGCATGGCACACACATCCATTGCAGCCCAACAGTGTGCACAGAAGCCAGTTGCTGAGCTTTGCCATTACTGGCTAAATTACTCAGTCACCCTCCATTTTTGTTTAGGCTCCAACCCGGTTTGGTTTGGATTCTGTCCCCTCTTTATAACATTTCCATGAGATTTCTCTTTACTGTCTCCTGGACACCACGAGGAGCAGAAGGGGACCTCCAGCCCCACATCAGCTCTCATGGGAGCACGAGAGCATGTCTGAGGAGAAATAAATGCAATCTGTGCTCAGCGAGAGGCTCTGGCAGAGCTTCACACTAACGCCTTCTGTTAATTTCAGGGGCCCCTCAAGAGAGAAAAGGCATATAAAAAGGAAGCTGAAATTCCTCAAGGATAACGGTAATGTACCCTATCCACAAATTACCAGCAGACCTTTACAGTAGCTTATCGCCTATAAAAAGCTTCAGAGTAGTCATTACAGCCATTGAGCTGATGGTAGTTTTATGACTTTTACTCACCATAAGGCAAGGCAGCGGTCACCTGATGCAAAACTGCTTTGGAGGGGCTGGCACCTGCAGGGCCCCTGTGCCTGCAGTGTCACCTCCCGGTCACAAGCAGGAGTAGGAGGGTGATATGGAGCTGTGAAAAGAATCCCAGCTCGTGTGTTGAGTGCTGTGAGGACCTGCCAGAAAACTTCATTAGCTCAGGTGGGTGGGCTTGTCCCACAGATGTCTGGGAAGAACTGTCCCTCTCTGCATCTTGTGGGGCCACTGCTTATGGCTCTGTTGGATCACCAGTCCTGCAATAGGCTCTACAGCTTATTTGCTCAGAGCGCTGGCGTTTAAGAAGTGTTCTGTGTTTCATCCAGTCTCAGCATGGAAGGTCTTCCTGTAGTGAATAATTGAGGTTTAGTATATTGGGCATAATGAGGCTTTAGGTCATTAGCTAATATGTCTCCCTTACTCTTCATTTGGAAGGGGATGAGAGAAATGGAATGTTTCAGTTAAACTGTTGCACACAGGTTAGGTATAGTCTCCCATCTGCACGTATTATTATTGTTCTATTTGTTATACAATCAATGGCAATAAAACTTAAAATGTAACCGAACAAAAGCTCTATGCCAGAATACAGATGAAGTTCCTGCCCGCACTCTGCAGAGGAATTGCTGTATATGCCATTGTTGTTAGATCCCATTTTGTTTCAGCTCTATACTTCAGCATAAAAAAATTTGATTCTGTAATAACATACGTAATTATTTTTTTCAAATTTGAATTTGTTTTCGCCATTTGGCACTCAATGCTTATCCCTTTACTTATGAGCTGAGTGTAACAGTTGTGTCCACGGTGTCACTGCATTGTTTATGTCCATTTTCAGTTCTACATGCTAGCAGGGAGGCATCCCTACCATGAGAACATTCCGAAAATAACTCACAGAAATGCATTTCTACCAGGGTAAGTCAACAGACAGACTGCACTTGAGTTATTGGAGCTCATCTTATTTGCAGCGGGACAAAAACCTTATCAAGACTGAAGCAAAACCAAATATTTTAAATAGAAAACAATTCTTGAAAGTATAGTACACACATAAAATCTTGAGCAAATGTTTACTGACTACACCACCTGGAGCAATTAAGGTGCTGCGGTGGAGCAGCACTTTGATTTAAGAGGGCATGGTTTGTAGGTCTATGGTAAGCATCATACCTGTGTCATCCAAAGCACAGATTTGCTCTGGCCCCCACCCTTCTATTGCTCTTCTGAACTAATCCTGTACATAGAAATAGTTGCTTTCCACTGCGGGAATGGATGGAAAAAGGTAGCGATTAACAGCCGTGCTCTCTACTTATTTTTACTCAAGTGTGTATCACATATGGGCCAGATCTTTTGCTGCCCAGCAGTACAGGGAAGTGCACACTTCATTATGAAAAGGCATGCAAGTGGTAGTGTTTCATCCATTTCCTGGCCAGATGCATTACATGTTTATAAAACAGTTAATCCAATGAATGGCTATTTAAAAAAAAAAAATCATTGTTCAATTATTTTTAGATTCAGGGAGTCCAAAGGAAGAAAAATCACAAAATTTGGCAATTTGGTCTTCACTCAGCCTAACACATGATAAAAGTAAACTATTCTAAGCAAGACCACAAAAAACATTGGTGAGACTAATTAAATCTTTATACATTTTAGCATAATACTTTATATTTTTGTGCGAGCATAAGGGATAGATATAGAAAGGAAAAAATGCGTAACTTGTATGACGAAAGCATTATTTCAGTTAAGTGCTAGCTATGTGTCATTTATGTTATATTGTCAATGGACTTGTTATTGAGAAATTTGTGTTAGAAATGTGATCTGTTACTTTTTTTTTTTGGGGGGGGGGGGGGGAAATGCCAGGGAATTATTTCTGGCCACTGAAATACTTGTATGTAGCTGACACCTTGAACATCAAGATATTGGTCAGTCTTGCTTGGACACAGTGTTTATATCATATTGCTGATTCCATGTCCTCTGAATGGTTGTTCAACATAAATGCCTTTCTGTATGCAAGAACTCAGTGCTTCCTCCTTGAGTAGAAATTAGCAGTAGAAAATCATGATTCTAAAAGTTTAAAAAAGAAAAAAGCTTAAGTAAACCCTATTTTTATTTGGGGTTGTTACTCAATTCTGTTCCATCGTATTCCTCAGAGTGGATTAGATTTTCTAGCTGATGGCAGAATGTTTTTTTTTCAGAAAACTAATGTGTTCAATGCATCCTCTCTGGAAAGCTTGCCTGGTCCAAATATTGATTGGGTTTTACTACCAGCCAAGGTCAGAAACTGAAGAGGTTCTTGCTGCAGGAAGCTGTATATTAATCTCAATATCAACTAAAGTACCTAAGCTGTTATTGGAATTTGATGATCAATTACAGTTTTGAAAAGTACTTAGTATGACATTTGTTGAGCTTTCATATTTTGTGTTACACCGTCACACCTGATAGTTCAATAACTGGAAAAATACCAACAAAGGACCTTTTTAGCTCTTTGTGCAGACCGTATCTGCTTTATAATTCCCATTTCTTGCTTTAATCTGCATTAATGGGCATTCCACACCATTAAAAGGCTTTCTTGCTGCCTCACAGTAATCCATTAGAGAATGTACCTCTGTTGCTCATGTTTAGACAGACACAAAACAATACCTTCCAGAAGAATATTTCTTAATTCTGACCCTGCAGCCTTTATATTTGGAAATGCCATCATTAAATTCAAACAAACCTTCTTTGTCTGTTTTCTTGAAATAAATACTTGTGCAGGGCCTCTAGCCCACATGGATCCACATCACATAGGAACTCACTTGCACAACTGGGCTGAGTAAGGGGCTGTTTCCCCCAGGTCCTGTTGTCCTTTTGTGGGGAGAGTTCTCTTTATGTATTCACAGATTTTTTTTTTCTTTTTCTGCATTAAACCAGTGTTGTAGAAGTAAAATCATGAAAGGCTATAAATATGACACAATCCTCTTAAAACTTTTAAATATTTACAAGTCCATTTCCTTCCTCACTTGCTTCTCAAGATAGATTCTCATTAAATTAAACCAACTTTCATGAAAACTTTCCAGTAATCACACCAGCATGTAATACCCAAAAATCATCATTGGATGGGGCCTGGGCCATCGTAAGGATTTATGAACATTTTGGGCCACAGCTCACATCCAATCTGAAGAGAACGCCAAAACAAAAGAACAGCTCTCAACATTTTCTTCATTTATTTCTTTCCTTTGGCCACTCTTTATTAAAAGACAAGGCAATATCTTGCAGAAGTTGGTACATTCTGCATCTCTCTATTTAGCAGAGCTGCAAGCCTGGTCCTCACACTCCATTTTTCTGCTGTGCTTATTTGTGCTAATCTAACATTTCTCTGTTGGTTTTCTTTCCTAAGAAAGGCAGCCGCTCTCCAGTAATGCTGGAGCTTTGCTTGTTTTAAGCATCAACTGTGATGACATGATTAAAAAAATCAGCATTGTTACAACCACAAGGACCTTTTCCATGTGAGAGCACATAAAACATTATTAGTGAACTTCTGTCTCCTGACATATGTGCTGCACCCTCCAAATGAGCTGGAAAGAAGGTAGAAAGTAGAGATTTATCAGGCATCAAGTTCAGCCATCCAAATATCATAATCCTCATTTTTGTTGCTAGCCGTATGCAATTTTGAAATGGTTTGTAAATTTAATTGTTGGTGTATGGAGTGTGCATAGGCCGTGCACAAGCAACAGCACACTGCTAGCAGCTCTAACCTGCTTTGTTGGAAGCAAAATCAACCCTGAGCTGTTTTAGCAAGATGTCAGCCAAATAGGATGGCACTCAGTGCTGTGAACACTCAGAAATGGTGGCACTTCTGGGTGATCAGTCACTCCTGTTTAAAGCTGGAGATGAGTTATCTGCTCATATTCCCTGTTGCCTGCTTCCAAGGCTCGGGAGATGAAAACAGAGAATCTCCTTCCTTTTTACTGCACTTATGTATGATGATAATTGTGTTGTTGGTTTTTTTTTTTTTTTTCAGGCTGATGTGAATCAGCATTCATTTTTGGATCTTTGCTATTGATGGACGGTATTTAAGTTAGGCATCACTATAAATCAAGATGTCTTGTCCCAGTGTCCTCTTCTACTCTTCGTGTGTTACAACTTACCTGAATGATTGGATGCCATATTGAACTGTGATATTACCCTACAGTCTACGTCTGACTTTCAGAGGATCTTGGATGGTACAACTACATCACTTTAATCCACAGGTATTAGTGTAGCATTTGTTAGATATGGACAGCAGTTTGAGGTTGGAAGAGCAAAAACTGTTGGATATCAGACATTTCTAATTCATTCTTAGCTCTATAAGGTGGGACCTTGTTTTCTGGAAAAAAAGTGGGGGTTATGAGTTGCAAAGTTTAATTGAAAAGACAAAATGCAGTCAAACATGATGTCTGTTATTACTGTGTGATATTCATGATTAATGCAATGCAATCGTCACTCTCTTTTATTGTGCTCCTTTTTAAAGTTGGTTATCAACACTACCAATGAACAGAACAATGAAGCTGATGTCTCAGCAGCAAATGACTGAGACAAGATGCAACTGACTTCCCATAGGCAGTAATGAGCATGACTTGGGAAGTAATAAACTACATGAAAAGCAAAAATTGTTATGAGATTTTACAGCTAGAAAATATTGTAGAAAAAATAGTAGCTGTGATCATATACAAAAATGTAGTTAATTGTATCTGTTGAGGCTCTAGCAAAAGCCTACCACTGCTTCTCCAGGATCGCCAGATGGCTGCTGAACTTATGAATTCAAGCAGTATGTCCATAAATTAATGCCTATTTAGCTTGGTATATTTGTTTTTTTTTTTTTTTTCATATTTGCCACTTTCCCATAAACTCCTGTTTCAAAGATTTATGTCAGAGTGGCAATTTTCTTCCCAAGAGAGTTATCTTTTAGTCGCAAAAGTAGGTCCCCAGAATCATAGCTTATTGCAACAGCACAGAAGAAAACATCAAGAGTTATCGCCAAGTACAGCCAATTCAAAAAAAATCATTTTTTTCATTTTGAATTATTTTTCAGTTCCAAATCCAGTCTCTGAGTTATGATTATGAGGCTCTCAGCTCTAGGTTCAGCTCTAACTAAAATTTTCAAGAAATCACAGGACTATTGTGTTGAAAAGCCCTCTCAGAAATTAAAGGAAAACATACAGCTGTTGAGCTGATGCCCTGGAAATGCACCACGTAGCCCTCCCTGCAAGAAATGTTAGCTCAAACTCACAAGCGTACTCCAATTACTCTTTGTTTGCTGGTGACCTCTGTCTTTTGAGCTTAACCCGCAGTTGCAAAAGCCCAAAGGAGTTGTGTATGGAGTCTAAATGCTAGCATACCTCTCCATCCTATCTCAACTAGAACAGTGTTCACCTTTACTACGTTATGAAGGTGAAAACTAAGGGCTTTTGGAAAAACAAAAGTATTCAAGTAGGATTTTGAATGTGAACAGAAAGAGCTACTGGGAAAGATTTCATAGGTGCCATGTGTATGAATGAGAACAAGAGCATCAGTTAACAAGAAGAACATGCAAAGTGAGAGATGTCATCAGGCACCAAATCAGTTAATTAAGTCCGGAAATGAAGCTTAGATATTTCTTCTGTGGATTGCCTGTATTCCTTTATTCATTGTTTTGAGCAGACTACAAGATCTTCATTCTACTTTGGAATTCTGTGGGGACAGTTCTTATGGATTTTGACAGTAAGCAGCACAGCACTGTGGGGCATTTGAGGTGAAGTCATTCTTATTGAAAGAGCCAGCATAATTTCTCTGCACCATTTAAATCCAAACAAATCCTATTTTAAGCACTTTGGAATGACTTGAGTAATGCAAAGGCCTTTTCTTGGGCTTTCTGCCCGGGAGTGAATTTCACCCTCAGTGAATTATTATTATTATTGGACTCTACTTATGAAAACATAAAGCAAATAACCCATGCAGATAACATTAAAGCAGTGGGAAATGGAAATTCCTAGTAGACTGAAGAATTAAGTAGGAATTGTTATACGAACCTTCTTTCTGTGCTACAGGAGGATGCACTGGATGACCTTTGGGTCTCCCTGGGTCTGACCAGCAACAGCTTCTTTTTCCATAAATACCTGATGTATCAGGCATCAAGGCACACTTTTCTCTCTTGAAAAATACTGCAGATTTATTATATTTTCTGTTTTTTGCAAGTATTTCCTGAGTCAGAAACGATGATATCCTGAAAATGAAGTGATGGCATTGTAGCATTTTCCTTATGTCCCTGATAAAATCTACTATTTTATTTCTGCTTTCATGTATATGTGTGCATCATAAGGACCTATTTCGTCCTCTAAATTCTCCTTTCACTGCATCAAAATACTAAAATATCTTGTCACCTTTCCTTGGACCATTGCAGATCTTTTGAAAATGTATATTTATTTTTTGCTTTTGCTACTGATGGAATATTTTTGAAAACACTGTGCAAATCAGCTTTGAGATCTTAGTGACCTCTCCTGTCCTGAACCACGTTTTCATATGCTGTTGCTATGTTTTTCATATGGATCCCCATGAAGGAGTGCACAAAACAAGAACTAATTTTAAGCATGAGAGCAATCCCCAGGAAGTCAACAGTAGCCTCATGTACCTAATGCTAATGATTCCCTTTAACTGTCCTTCAGATATGGTGTTTCTCTCGAGTCTGGGGTTGAGTCTTTCTCTCTTCTCTCTCCTTCCATCCCCCATTCACTTTTCATAATAATAAACAGTTATGCCATGGAGAAAAGGAAGGCCAACGTTCACAGATCAAAATATGGGCTACTTACCCATCTTGCTTATTTGATAGTCATAAATTCTCGTGTGTATTAATATTTTTTTTTGTGTGTGTGTGGACAACCTTCCTGAATAGCAACTGGCCATGCCTTTATGGGCATAGGTTAGATGATACACAGGCTTACCAAGGTGCTTCTGAACAAAATTCAGGTTTTGAGTAATTGTGGGCATTGCTTCAACAAAGCTGTTGTTGACGGCTCTTTGGGGTAGAAGAGAACTGCAAAATTCCAACCTGCCTTTGAATATGTAAGATTTTGGGTAAAGTTTGGATAGGTCCTTTTTCTAGATCTCACTGTAGACTTCCAGATCAGAGTTTTCCTTAGGCTGATAGCAGTTCCAGTTTAGAACTTACCCTTTTGTTCCACTATGCTACGTAGATGGTTGCATTTAGTGTCCAGTAGCTTCTGTATTGACTTCTTACACAACATAAAGCAAAGAAACTTCACAATATCTCAAATAGCACCACTGATTAACATATCTAACCAAATTCTACCATCAGATCAGAGCAGCCTTTGCCTCATTTTGTGCGACATGCATTCATCAAGAGGTAGATTTTAGCCTATAATTAACTGTACTTACAGTTAGTCTATTATATTTCAGGGTCTTAAACCACAGCATGCAGTACTGCTTGCTGCAAACAACAATTTCCTTTTGCTTCTTACCCTCCGTGCACTTTCTGATCTCATTCTGTAAAAATAAAATAAATGCAACACAACCTACATCAACAGAACTAAAAATTCGAAGGCATTTTTAGCACTGGGCAAAAAATTAAACAACTTCAGGAGACACTTATGGTTCCTAAAAATGGAAGTATCAACTGGTAAGTTTTTTGAAAATTGAATATAAAATCATAGAGAAATGCTTTATTTGATTCTCTGTTTATGGGAAATTCATTTTATTTGACTTTTTTATTTGTAATATCAACTATATTGCAGAGCAGAGTTTCTAGGTGCTCCCTTATGGTACCATTCTTCTAAATTATTAATGCCGTACTGTTGATATATTGTCAGCCTTGTACATACATTCTATGAAAATGAGTTTTACAGTAGGCTGGGATTTATAACAAAGCTTGACATATGCAGCTAATTCACCTAGACAGTCTTGTCAGTTTTAGGTTCATAAATAATTGATACTCAGGGCTTGGAGTTCAGCTACTGTTAGTGCTCCAGCTGTTAAATTTCAGCAGCATAATGGATGAATATTTGTTTATAATTTCTGTACATGGACCTGATGTCAGATCCCCAGTCTCATTTACATAGGTAGATTGAGATGTTGGAAGCGTAATGAGCATATGAAGATGATGAATTGTTTTCCTCAGTGCTGGTGCGTTTCTGTAAATGTTTGATTAGTTTTGAATGGATTACTGTTAGATTATCTGGTTCAGGGGTTAAAGTGAGCAGCTCTCTGCTCCCAAAGCTTTCATGATCCCTTGCTGACAGATTTTAAAATTCATACAGCGATATCAGTGCTGCAAAAGCTAGGGGTATTCTTTGCAACAGATGTTTAGTAATTAAACATACGGTTTCCCTGTTTGGAAGTTGCTTGGGAAATTTAAATCAGAATGATTTGTTTACCGTAGTTTGAGGGAATTACAATTTCTAAAAAATAATATACTTTTGCCCCTAAAGTGCTGAAGTTTTTCCCCCAGTGACACTAATTAAAAATGAGCAAAACACACACATGCCCTCACAATAATTCAGATGTTTAACGCTCTGGCAGGCAGATGCGAAGCTATTAAAAGCAGAGGTTCCTCTCATTTTCTCCTTTGGTACATTAACGAGCAATGCTCAGGAATACATGTTTGATTGGACATTCCACACAGAGATGCTGAGGCAGAGCAGATTTTCAGCCTGAGCAGGGAGAAGCTGGGCAGTGCGGGTGTGTGTGTTACATATAACTTCCTGGTGACGTGAGAAGCACCGCGAGCAAATGACGTTGGAGAAGCACACAAGTTGTCACCGTAAGCTTGGTGCTGTGCGCTGGTGCTGGCAGCTGTCTGGGGGCTCAGGGGACACCTGAAGGCAGCAGGAGCACTGGGCTCTGCTCAGTGCAGCGGCCTGCATCTCACCACCTCATTCTGCAGCCCGCGCTGAGGCAGAGGGCTGTATGGAAACCAAACAAAAGCCTTTATGGCCACGACTTGCCTTTGCTGTTTTGTGCTCCGTTGCTGCCTTTCCTAGCCAGGAGAGCAGCAGCCTGAGGAGCCGATTGCGCGGCTGCTGCTCAGCCCGGCCGAGCCCTGTGCCATGCCGCGCTTTGTCAGCCCTGTGTACAGCTCCCTGGCTTGTCTGGCAATCATGTTAGTGATTATATGGGTAATGAAACACGTGCTCTTTTTGTCTGTGGTTCTGATTAATCTGCTTTCTATTTAGCTGTGATTTATGGTGCTCAACTGTTGAGGTGAGTGCTGGCCCATCAGTTCCCCAGCCCATTACAGCGCCGGGACCGCTAAATGCCTGCGAGGCTTGAACTGTTTCTTGACAGCCAGGCTTCCCGCTACATTCCCTCCAATCTGTTTTGCTTCCTGGTGTGACCTTTCATACAGTAAAATACATTAGTTGAATAGCACAGTCTCATTAAAAGAGTGAATTAACCGAAGAGTCTTTTTAACTAAATGACAGCCAAAGGACTGAGTGCTAATAGCCACGGGCAGTTAGAAACTTAACTCATGAATCAGGCTGTTAATACTGCTCGGTGCCTGAAGCGCTAAGGGCACCACACTCTCTGCTTGCTCTCATAAGAAGAAAAGCTCATTACTTTCCTCCTGATGGGAGAGAAAGAGTGAGCGAGCAATAATAAAGCTTGAATTTTTCAATACTGTTAAAAATGGGGCTGACAGATTGCCGACAATAGGAGCAGCGGCCTAGACACTGCAAAGAGAGCCACTGAATTAGCAATACCATATATCATACAATCTAATTAAATCAACCCGAAGAATGAAATTAGTTTTCTGTGAGTGAAATGGCCTTTGAAAGAGCGCTATTAAATGAACTGTAGAGCATTAATTAAATAATTCACAGTGAGGGATTTTGCATTTATACAAAAATTGTGCACTTAATTGTCCATGCTGTATTACAGATTTGGCCTTATGTTAACAATGTGTCTAAAGCACACTTATTGGAGCATATCAGGAACAGCTTAACGTAAATGCAGCTTATCAAGTTTTAAGGATTTGCAAAGAAATCAGAGGAAAGGAGGACACAATAGAAAAGATACACACAGAGTTAACAACTTTTCCACGTTAATCCTCTGTGTGTGTCACAACTTGTTACTTTCTTTTCCCTTAGTGGAATGACATTAGGGCTCTCATTTTCTTAATTAAGGAAAAGTTCTAATGATTTAGCAGAAAGAAGTTACGTTAACTGACCTAAAATAGAATTCACATGAAAATACCTTGGGTGAAAAAAAAAAAGAAGAAATAAAAACAGACTTTGGGATGACGAAAAAAAAACAAACAACAACAACAACAAAAAAAAAACTCTCAAGCTCTCAGCAATACAAGCAATCACCCATCTCAAAAATAAAAAGAGGCAGAGAATCAATTCAAACTTTGTTTTAAAATCTTTATAACACTAGAATTTCAATTAAGGTTTTAAGCTTTTTGAAAGGAAAAGCTTGTTTTGGAAACCATTAGAATAGAACGTATTTTAAAACTTTAAAATCTTATGGGGAGATTAAAAGTAATCATAAAACTTGTTTCAGTCTATCCAAGTCTCAGTGTTTTCATAAATGTGCTATTTCTGGATGCTCACTTTTTACTCAATGTTACTCAACTTCATACCAAAGAGAAGCCTCGTCTGTCAAATAAACTTGAGAATATGTGGTTGTATTTTAAAGGATGTTCTCATTTTTGGTTCCACTTTTTGGTTAGTGTCAATAGTGTAATGAGCTTTGAGCAGAGATTGACCTACATTAGGGAGATAAAAGTAAGGAGACCAAAACAGTGAAGGATGAGGTGATCATCCTTCAAAATGGAGCAAGAACCTGGAAGAAAATGTAGGATGTGTACACACTCAACATCTGACACAGCTCTATGGAAAAGAAATTTCCGTAGACAGAAGAAGTGATTAGCATGTTGAGGCTGTACAAGCAGTGTAATCTCTGTTGACCTCTGTTGTTGCCAGCAATGGGAAAGCAACGAGATGTCTGCAGAGAAACTGCAGCTAATACAGCAGCCACAAAACGCCAGCTCAGATTTACCATTCTGATTTACAGCTTGCTACCCTCAGTATTGTGTGCTTTCATGCAAGGCGATGGCCTACACTGATCGAGATGGCTGCAAGTATCTGCGTCCCATGGGTGAATACTGAAATGCTGACTGTGATTCCTTTGGAAGGTGAAAAGGAGAATCAAGCCTGTATCAAGGGATAACCAACCCTGTATCAAAATCTAAGGGGTTTTTATCATGTAGGCTAATCCTCATGGTGAGCATAGGTAAATCATTTGGCCATTAGATGCTGACATAGGCTATGCATCTTGGATCTTTGAGTTTGCAGTGCAATCTTTTGCTCAGAAGACCACTTTGCAAATAATAGCAATAAGCCCGGCACCATCCAGGCTTACTCAGAAAACATCATCTACACAGACAGGCAGTTCTCATTAGAGCTGTGCTGAGAACTGCTACCACCGTGCAGAAAGAACAGGCATACAGGGTGCAAACACTGAATGTCTGTTTGCAGGATCCTCCCTAATATTTTTACAGATGGGTATGTGTTTGTGGTAACTACACACTAATGGCAGAATTTTCTTCTTAGAAGCTTCATGTATGAGATCTGGTAGCAGAGTTTCCCCAATTTGCTTTGTCCTCACTCAGAGACATGAGAGGGGATCATGCTGCTTTTGCCCAGGTGCCCCCTCACATTCTGAAAGCTAGTATCAGTAGTCAATACAGGTATGACTTGGTGGTGCCCACAGAAGGCAAAGATGCAGGAGCTACTAGGTACTTACTTGTCCTCTCACACATACACATATGTTGCAGGTATCCTAAACTGTTTAACTGGCACGCTCTCAAACATGCACAAGGCTGTAATTTCTTCTGACACTCCAGGTAATGCTGACTAGACTTTCACTGATAATATTTTTTTAAACGACACTGAAAGGCTTCAGTGACAAATTATTGTAGTCCCACATTTCCATTTATTTTATTCTGAGATGTGGTATTGATATAAAACCATCTTGAACCTGTTAATGATATTTCATGCGCAGTTATGTCAAACTATTCAATCAGTCGCATCATTACCTTTCATATTAAGCATATTTAGTTTATTCAGTCATAACAAAGCATTTCTAGCACTAAAGGTTTCTTCTTTTCCCCAATACTCATTCATTTCAATTTCATTTCATATCATCTCTAGAAATGTATCTTTTGTCTTGATTTTAGAGCAAAGCCAAAGTAACAAAATGTTTTATTACCTGAGCTGAGAAAAAGCTGAAGATTTGTTCCTCAAAATAGGTAACTGAAAATATTTGGGCTGTTTCATTGAAAAGCTCACTGAAGGTTGAATTTTGCAGGTATTTTCTTTTAAATCAGAACTTTCACAAAAACTTTGAACAGCTTGAGACATTTGCAAAATTGGTGGAAATGCCAATTAGATCTCTAGGTCACCCTACTAGCAAGACAAGATATAGTTTCTGGGCACAGAAAGCTTCCAATTTGAAAATAACACTGCTGTTGATCTTATCAAAGGGATTAAGAAGCCTGGTAATAACTTGATACGCAAATACAACCATATAAAACTACTCTGTCAAGCTTACTGGATATTCTTTTAGCACAAAAAGGAAATAAAAATATTTATGCAATATGTAGTTTCTTGCTGCACAAATTTGTAATCTTCTTTGAATTTCCCTCTGGTCTTCTGAGACAGAAGAGATGACAGAGGTTTTAAGATAGAGCTCCAGTCCTCCCTGGCAGCCAGACCACTGGGGCTGGGTCTGTGTTTGAAGTACCAGTCCAGACTGCCCAAAGATAAAACAGAGGAGGTAGCGCTTTTTTTTTAAAGCCAACTTTTCACACCAGTGTTGCTTCTAACAGGCTATCTAGATGTTCCCTTCCATTTTCACTTTTTGGGTTGCTTGTCTTGATGAGAGAGGTCAAAGGGTGCAAAATTAAATGAAGAGATATTCAACCTAGTACTTAGAAGAATACTTTTTCCCTGGAGTCAAAGGAGTTTATGCGAACAGAATGTTGTCTTTGGTGTTAGTATGTAATCAGATATCTCAAATAGGGAGCATCAGTGAAGAAATGGCAAAGAAGTATAAACAAACTAAAATATGAGTTATAGAACAACCCAAGTTGGAAGTGGATCATCAAGTCCAACTCCTGGCTCCACACAGGAGCTGGCGTGGAATTACCGCAGGTATTTAGATGTACTCCATTCATTATCACATTATACTTTATTATTATACTGTACTATTTGGTTGACATTGGTTCCATATTATCACTGGAAGGTGAATTATGCAAAATTATAGAGATCATTGTAAGCTCAACACTGCATGTACAAAAAGACATAGTGCAAACAGCAGAAAATCATGTCCTTATCCAGCCTGGCCAAGCGATCTAGATTTTTAAGTGCAGTGGAAATGCTAAGTCACAGCTTGAAGCAGTGATTGAGCACCTGGTGGAAGGCAGGGCCAACCCAGGGCAGCTCAGGTGCATGCAATGTGGCTGAGTGACCGGAAGGGCTGGAGCCAGGATCCACCCATTCCCAGACCTTATTTAAGGCTTAGCAGTGAAGGCAAAAGTATTTTGCTGGAGATCCCTGTGTATTGGAGGTCATCTAAAGGTAAGCAAGTTTTTCTTTTTTTTGTTTCTGCCTCTATGGTTGCTGCCTTTGGTCTTGTTCTCATTTGCTGCAGCCTGGGGTTGTGCCACCCTGCTACTGCTGCTGTACTTTACATTGTATTATAGCGTTACCCTAAGAGAGGTCATAAAGAGCTAAGGACAAACACTTAAGTTAGAAAAATGAGGCAGATGGTGTAAAAATTGTAACTATTCAATGAAAATATGTTTTTTGAAGCAGCTATAGTGATATGGGTATTCTGTATGCATTTTTTAACTTTATTTTAGGTATGAGTTCTTGCAGGTACTGGGAAGTGCAAAAAGCACTAATACGTGTGTTACATACTTGTCAGTTAAACTGAAGTCAGGCATACTAACCTGTAAGAAACTTTTGATTAAATAAGTTTGATTGACCCTCAGACAAGTGTCTAACTTTCTGTGCTTTATTTAAATTTAAGTTTGCAGGCTATGCCTCTTGCCTCAGGGAAGCAGGGACAGGATTGGTCTTGCACACATTTATTGCTGCCTCTGCTTAATATCAGTAGCCGAGACAGTCATCATTCAAACCAAAATGAAGTTCCAGAAGATTTTGGTGCAACTGAAAGAGCCAGCATTTATGGCTCTGTCCCTTACCTATTGCATTATCTATAAACGATGCCTTGTTGGAAATGACCTGCTGGTCAGTATGGCATAGGGCCAGTGTGCTATATATCAATATATAATGTAAGAATGTGTCATTCAATATGCTGCAAAACTTGCTATTGAGAATTAATCATTCCCCTTCTTGAGCAGCCTCTTCAATGCCTCCAAAAGTTTGCTATTACTGAAGACATTCTTCATCAGGAAAATCATCTACTAGAATATGTGGGCCAGAAGAAATCTGATTACAGAATTTTGATATGGAGTTCAGCATGTGTTAGAAACAACTTTTGCCCTTTGACAACACAAGACAGCCCTTGCTGCATCAGACCAGCAATCTGCCTTGTCCTGTAATCAGGCAACAGCGACAAGAAGTGCTCACGAGGGAGCAGAGATATGGAGGCTGGGTCAGTATTTGCAGTCACAGAATCAGATTCACGGCAGTAGGTTGCACAAGAAAATTTCCAGGTGAATTTTAAATATCTCCAGTCCACCTTCAGTCTACTGACCCCTTATTTTTTCCTGCTTTTGTTATCACTGGATTAGTGATATGGGTGAGGTGCACCACTGCCATCTTTCTTTTATATATGCATCTGTATATGGAATTGTTGGCATTCAGTTTGCCTGATACTATTGTGGTCCTGTTCATGCTCTTCTCCAAAATTTCCTATAGTAAGGAATACCAGAAGATCTGCTGTAGGCTACCTGCCGTTCTGTTTGATCAGATCTCCTGGTGATTTCAAAGCATTACACCTTCTCTTGGAGCTGTGTATCTAGGACATCTACTAACCACCATGCCCAGAAATGGCAAGCTTCAGAAGAGTCTTGTTCAAATCCAAAACAACAATGTCCTGTAGCTGTTACTATGTCATCTGTCTGCTTAGGTTCCCAGGGAGAGATGGAAATAGAAATCAATACTTGTATGATACGACCATTAAGAAAATTTGATTTACGTGTTCATGCGCTGGGTGCTTTTTATGTAAATGAACACCAGTCTTAGTAAAATCTCTTTGTCAGACATTCTGATTCCTTCTCAGACGATAGCTTCGTGTGAATAATTGACTTGACAAAGGCCCCTCTGTGCACCTAGTTTTATCAGACAATAATTTTTATCACTTTCCATCAATGCTTTGATACTTTGAGGAATTCAACTTATAATAAATGTGTTGTTGATGTTCTAACAAGAAAAGAACAGATGCAAGATCAGTGAATATTGAGTTTTAAACTTGTCTCACAGTGATTTGTGGCTGTGTCATAGCAAATATTTTTCACTGTCATTGCCCAAGCCCTGGCTGTCACTAACATGGTCAGCTGGGGAATAGAAGGCCTAACACTATGATCTCAGTATTAATGGGAGCTGTTGAGAGTGGCAAAGGTGATAAAGTATTGTTTAGTTATTGGTGCCATAGTTTTGCTGCGGGACATTATTATAAAATGCTGTGGGTTTTTTTTGTCAGATTTCAATCACCTATCCCAAAATGTATTTAGAAACTTAATACAAAAAGTCCTGAAAAACAACTTTGAGGGTTTTGGCTTGTTGGTTTTTCTTTTTAAATAGAGTTTCCTTGATTTTAAACTACAATTAACACTATGCAAACCTAACAACTTAAACCAAAGCAGATCTAAGACTCTCTCTGGGGATCAGTTTATTCCATTGTGGTGTACCTTTAGTTATTTTTATGCAAGTATTTTAGGTTCAAGGCTTAACTCAAACTAACAAATATATCTTCCCAGTGATCTAGAGTGGATTGGAAGTTACTAAAGGGACTTTAATTCTGCTGTTATTCTAGGCCTTTGTATATCTGGTAGACAATCCTTCCCCTTGGTGTGCATGTATATTTTATACTAATGGAAGTTGTGTGTGGGTATTCAGGAGAGAGCATACCCCATTTGGTAGGTAAATTTATGTGATGCTCTTTTTCATTATTTCCTAGACCAGTACAGGGAGAAATATAGATATAAGATTTATAAAGCTTCTACAATATCCTGTTTTGCCAAATTGTGTTCCAGCAAGGGCATGACAGGATTACTTACCTTCACCTCGACACTCAAAGAATGCAAATTAATGACTTACTGTCATTGTCAATAAAAGTAGCTGTGTATGTTTGTAAGTTTTAATTAAAATTACCTGAAATTCAAGCTTTTATTTGTGGCCAAGATTACATAATTCTAAGCCTTCTGATTAATGCTTTCACAGTTACTTTAAATGATGTACAGTATCTCTTCATAAAGAATATAAAATTAGATTGTGAGAGTTCATATAGCTTTTAAATATCAAGCTGTCAGGGTTTGTGCAGGTAGAAATATTATAATTGAAGAATGGTGAAGAAAGAGTTTGTATTAGAGACGATTTTCAAGCAAATTCATACTGAGAGGAATATAATGGAGACAGGCTTTTTGCCAGTGCTTTGGCTCTGCTGACCTCCATTTGCAGCAAAGATTAGCTTGATAAAGCCGACACAACCTCAATAAAACACTAACAATGGAAAGAAGTAAATAGAAATCATATTAAGCAGCAGCAATATTGCATGAATTGAAACAAAAATTTAGGTATAATAGCCTTGGTGGGTTTTAATATTGTTCCCAATTGCATCACAATATGAATCATATCACAGTGATTCTAAATAACATTTATCATCTTTAAATCTTCTCCCCTAGTAGACGTCTCACATTATTTGAGAGGGTTTTTTTTTTGAGTTCATACATAATTAAATGGAAGTAAAGGGTACAGAATATCTTGAGAAACAGCATCTTTGCATTATATGTTCAATTAAACACAACAATCCCATATTTATCGTTATTTTGCTACCTTCCAAAAGTTAAACGAACAGAATAATAGAATAGTATTGCAGAACAAAACTAAAATTTATCTCGATGGGAAATTTTATTCAGTTTTCAATTACTCTGGCATTGCTGAATTCTGGGTAGCATCTGTAGTGCATGACAAAATGGTTTAAAAAAAAAAAAAAGTTGGTAAAAAATGTATTTATAGGGAATTAGAGACTAAATTTAACAGAAAGTTGGTTCAATTAATTTTGTGAGAAAATTATCTGTCCAAAGGACTGTATCTTCATTTATAAGGAAAAGGTTTAAACCATTGTATGGATGGACTTCTCTCTTCACCGTAGGACTCTGGGTTCAAGCTGTAGTTCTCTTTCCAGTGCATTGGGACAGTCTTTAGACAGCCTTGGAAGACTCCAGATTTAAAGGGAAGAGATGAGAGAAAATGTCCAACACGTTTCTTTTCACACATCCAGCTCCTGAGTAAGGATCCTCGAAGTGTTTCTCAGTGCTTTGCTCACCATGAAAACTGCCTTCCAAGCTCAGTGTAAGGACAAGACCAATTAGCTTCAGTTGTTTGCCACTGGATTTATGTATGATAGGTGAGCCTGTGAGCATGATTTATGCTTGAAGTTTTGTATAAGAAAAGTCAAAGTAAAATGGGTGTAATGGTGATGATGGAACCATACTCACTTCAAGTGAAAAGTCTGATTCTCACTCATAAGTAGGGAGGGCATTTAGGAGGATCCAGCTGTAAATGTTGACATTGAGGAGAACATCTTGGAAGTGGAGCAGGTGTTCAAATATTTTTAGGAAGAGGACATGTCAAAATCAGAGCCTTGCAGACAGGATGCCCAATAACTCTTCCTTATTGCTCTTATGACCTGCGAGAAGCAGCTTGCTTAGGTGCCTAACTTCAGGATGGATCTCATAGATTTAATGTGGACAGGAACTTAAGCTTACAAGAAGGATAAGGACTGAGCCTTTGCATGTTCTGCTTGCTGGATGATAACTATCTTGTTCCACAGGTGTTTCTACTAGATCCAATTTTATTTCCTTTGTGGTCACATAACCACTATCACATCATACAGAAAACTGGGATTCTCTAGGTTCCTTTTGATGGCACAGTTCCTTCAAGGTTTTTGCAGACAGATGTTCTAAGAGTTCTGTGTGAACATTAGGGTATCAATAGCAACCTGATTATAGTTGACTTGAACTGAAAAATGAGAAACATAGGTTATTTATCCGTTTAATGTCATGAAGTCTAGTACTGACTCTGCCTAACCTAGATCAAACAGGCAGTGCGGTCTGTCATCTGCCATCAATTTATCAGCTTTCACAGACTAGATCTAGGTGCTTAAAAATCCAAGTTAACTAAAACTAAAAGGTTGTTTCAGACGTACTGAATAGAATAGAGGTCAGTGTTTAGATGTAGAATTATGATAAGCAAGTTCAGGAAGGGGGTGAAAATGCAAGACATAGTTAAACAAGTTATATACTGAAAAAACAGAGCAGCATTTCTGTATTCTGTGATAATGATGTTGTAATACATGTCGTAAACAAATGTGACTGAAGTCAGGAGTGGCCACGTACCATTCCATATGAAAAAATATCTTGGGAACTATATTGTGTATTTTATGGTGGGGCATACATGTCACAGTTTTCTATAATACTGTGTTGAAAGGTAGAGCCATCTATTTGGAACATAAGTTGTTAAAGATACCGTGCAACAAGCTAATGAAGTGAACCGCTAGAGATAGAATGAATGAAAATAATTAAATTTGGTAATTAGCAATGATTAAAAGCTAAATTTGAGCTCAGATATCAAATGAACAAAAAGTGAATTTTGCATTTTGCTTATATAATGTAGATCTACATAAAATATATAAATAATATAAAATACATTTTATATTACATACATAAAATGAAGGATACTGTATGTTTTATTCATGATCATTTGCTTGCAACCATAAAGATAGTCATGGCAAAAATGAACTGTGAATACAGACAAGTAAGGAGAGATAAAAATGACTCAATATGGCAGAATAAGAGAAAGTGGACCACTGAAAAAAGTTGCAGAAGAGCTTATAAAAGCAAAGAAGGAGCAGTGACCAAGATGGCAAAAGCTAGCAGCTATCAGCAAATGTGGTCTGTAATTGAGGTGAGTTCTTCTGTGTGGTGAGCCCCATGGATGCCTGTTGGCCTCATGAACCCACAGCAAGGATCCTGAGAGGGTTGTGTTGGCATGGGAAAATTGGACAAAACCTGAAGCTTTGTGGTAGAAAGATACCATAATTCCATCAGGAGTTTTTTTGGATGTCTGGAGGAGATGAAACTGAGATCTTTACATTTTGAAAAATGAATTTGCTGCTTTTGTCAGGGCCAAGCAGCAAGTAAGAGGAGAGGAAACTCAAGATGGATGAGGGCTCACCGAATGTGTATATGCAGGCATGGCCATTCCATTTATAAGAGCTCTCATTTTATGCTGCATCTTTTTTAATGGAGAATGGGTACTGCCAGGTTGTTGAGAGTCTCTTCTGCCCTTGCAAAAAGGAAGGAAAAAAGAAAACTCACCAAAAATATTTATACTTAGAAATGATTGATTTCTCCTTTAAGAACAATTCGAATTGTAGCTATTATATGCCAAAACAAAATACTTATTATTTTCATTGTTGTTTTGTGCTGTTGATAACACTGAGCACTTAGGAAAAAAGGTTTTTTTTTTTACCCTGTGACTTTAAATCTCTATGTTGTTTGTATTACAAGTACTCCGTTATGTTCTTATTGAGGACTGTGGCATGGTAGTGGCAAAAATTCAATAAGCCAGTAAATTCCTTCTGACTTTTTTCATTTTGTATCTGATTTGGTCACCTAACTTGACCATTTCTGGTATATGCATCAGCTCATTAATACATGAAAATATACTATCAAACAGACAATCAAATTTCATGTAAAATAAGCTACAGCATTAAAACTGTTCCTAGTATTTTATGTCTAACTCTGTGGGTAGATATATTTCTTGCTACTAGAGCAAAACTGATTTGTGTGATGGTTCCCCATCATGAAATCACTTGGAAGGTTGTGAGATAAAATGTCGCTTAGGATAATGTAATTGGCCTTAAGGTACAGGAGTTGAATTATTTTCAGTGATTTATAATCTGGAAATTAAAGACTCACTCATTTTCTAATTTAATTCCATCTTCAATGGAAAAATGTTCACTCTGAACTAAATTGGCGAGTAATGTTGCTAATTCAAATGCAGATGCAATTTCGATTCTGGTAGCAGTTTGCTGTGATTGACGAGTCCCCAATGGATCATAATGATTCTTATCTCCCAATCTCACAAATTCTCTAGCAGTTGTGATAATAACTTCAGCTTGGGAGAAAAGGGGAAAAAATAAATTCTCTGCTGCACTGTCAATTCAGGCTTTGCTTTTTTTCTGACACGGAATGGGGTTTATTTCAAATCTATTGCGTGTTGGAAACAAATATGAAGCCTCATTACTAAATTCTGTGTCATCATAAAACTGTAGTTTAATTGTTTACTGATGCTCTTCTAACTCTCTTTTAAATCTGCTTAGAAAGTGTTTCAGGTTCCTTACTGACAATTAGCTGAAGCTCACTGTGAGATGCAAAATATCAGGGAAATGCTCAGCAATCAGCTGTCGGGAAGGTTTTCCATGTTTTAATTTTTGCCCCATTTATAAAAATGAATTAATACGTCTGTTATTTTTCTCCAAAATTAACTTGAAATCATGCTGCAAATTCGGATGTTGATTCTGAGATGAAGTTGTACATACATATCTTGTATGCCTAGGTCAGCAGCCACAGTTGTAAGCGTGGAGTTTCCTCTGTCAAGGATAGGCTCCCATTTGACTGGTTGTGGATTTGTATTCCCATATTGAATTTGCTCTTCTGGTATGGTGAGTCAGGTCAAAGAAGTGTGCCTCCCTACGCTACGGCCTTGCAAAAGGAATGATGAAAAGAATCTAGAAAAAATATGGGAATAATGTAGCTAATTTCAGTGTTGGGTAATATGAGGAAGGAAGGTTACACTTCTTGTGCATATATAACATTTGAGGGTTGTGCTATTTCAAAACCTGTGTGATTTAATGATCTTGATAATCTAAGTCCTTTACAAATTTGTTTTTGAGGAATTTATTTTGTTTTCAGAGAGAAAATCCTTCCCTTCTCTTTAAACCTCTTCACATGCATTTGCATTACTGACAGCAGTTGGTGGAGGGAAAGGGTGAAGATGATCCAATTGTGAAGGAGGCAATTGGGATCTCATCAGACTTGACACATTATCATAAGAGAAAGTTCAGCTACAAGAAAATCCTTCCCTGTTAAGTATCTGAAACTCAAAGACTGATATGTAACCAACTTTTCTGCTGAGTTCTCGAACTCAGACCATCCAGAAACCTACAGATATTTATGTCAAGGGAAGGAATATTAGAAGTTCCCAGTGATTGTCTATGTGAGTGGGTGAAGATGGAGCAGGTCAGCAGGGCCTGAGCATCTGGGCAACCTGGGCAGAGCTTCCAAGACAGCTCTGGAGCAAACTGTGCTTCTTCCTTACAGCGCCCTGCCTGGGGTTGTAGACACTCCAGCATGGATGAGGTCTATGGATTGAGCTCTGCTCAGGGCTACCATTCCCTTCAAGTCCTGCACAACACTTCCATGATGGTTGGACTAGATATTCTTGGAGGTCTTTGCCAGCCTTGGTGATTCTGTGATTCTATGAGGCTGTGCTTGCTTGGACAAGAAAATTTTCAGCCCTAAACTCTTGCAATGTTTTGCAGGAATAGTCTAACAGTGGGAAAGCTTACTGTTAGCTACACATGCTCATATAAAATGCTCATTAACTGTTTATTTATCCCATGCAAATAAAGTTAAAATATAAAACTACTAAAAATAAAACAGCTAAAGTAATATTTAAATGATATCTTCCTGCAGAGGAGGGCTAGCGAAAAGCTGAGGATGTGTGAATAGGACCAAGACATTCATTTCAGTGGGGAAAAAAAACCAACCCACACGAATCTCGCTCTATTGCTCATGAAACTTGTTAAAGAGAAAACATTCCTTCAGTTTCAACTTGCAGTGGTCAGGCTGAGACATAGCACAGAGTGATGCAGCTCTACCAGCTCTGCACCCTCTGGGCCAGGTTGTTTGTGTCATTAAAGTATTGACAGCACTCGAGATCAGTGGAAGTAGAATATTGCTGAGAGATCAAAGAGTGCCCCTTTGAGCACACTTTATTGCCTTTTTCATCTTATCAGTACTTACCATTATTAACCTGAGGATTTCTGTCTGAGTGGGCTGTAGAGGCACGGGATATCAGGGGAAGCGGTGGCAGTAGGACAACAGGTAAAGTGTGGGAGAGATAAGAGGATGCACGCTTCCCTTTCGCATACACACATTGCAGATGCTCATATAAATATCCTGAATAAAAGTCACAGAGCAGAAAGTTCTGTTTGTGTCCATTTCAGAAAAGCAGCAAATACTTTGAGTCATCACAACCATTTGTGATGACTGAGAGCTGCAAGGGTATAAAATAAACAGCGCAATCTGATGCTATCCATCCACTTGCCTTTGCGTTGTACTGGAAGGAGGGACTGTGCCATGGAAAAACAGGTCTGGGTCAGCAGAAAGAGCCTCTAATGTGCACTGGAAAATTAACTTCTGAATTAGACAAATAAAAACTGCTGGTCAGTGGTTTTAAACACACTGTGCAGCTGGTTTGGGTGTAATTGTATGTCATGTTTTATTTTTTTTTTCATTCAAAGGCTATAAGCTTTCTACAGTAAGGTAAAAGTACGTTCTCTCTATTTTATGGAAACCTCTCTGCTTTATCTTTTTCAGATAAAAAAATGAATAACAGTTTCAGTGGTGCTTGGAATTATTCCCGTTGGATTGTGAACTTGGCAGCGCAGGTAAAATGATTTTTTTTATTTTTTTTTTTAAATGATTGGTTCTTGCCCAATGTCGTCTTTATTGTCTTCTCCAAAATTTTCTGAAGCTTCTTTGAAAATCAACTCTCTAATGAATGTAAATATGTAGCCAAAGCAACTTTGTTTCTCGTCATGTTCATCTTGCTGTAAAATCAGGGCTTTGTCAATGCGAGCAAGTGGAGATAAAACAGCATAAACCACATGGGAGATCAAAATCAGTCTCTTAATTGGTTATTGATGCTGTTTCTACTTCTAACAGCAGGAAGTTGCTTTACATAATTTACTTTCAGGGAAAGTTTCATTCATATCTGCCCAAAGTGTATCCTCCCCAGCACCTGCCAATTCTGGCTCGTGGCCTTTCAGCAGAGCAGACAAAACCCAGGACCATCAAGCAGCCCACCGGGCAACATCACAGTGGTAGCTTGGGGCATGGAGAAACAATTCTCTTTAAAACACTCAAAGCGTGTGGCCTCCTGTGCCAACATTGATTGTGATGCTCTCTCCTGATCTATGGTGACTCTCCCTGCTCCTTATCGAACTCTCTCTGATGTTCGTGGGAAAGATGGGCTGGATGGGACCAAGATGATGCCATGTCCTATGACATGATACCACCTGGGCACGGACAGTGGTGTTACAGGCTGGCTAAACTTGTTACTGCTGCTGCTTTTTCCTTCTCAACTTCCTTCGGTACCTCTGAAAGCCACGCTTGCTTCTAAGCAGCCCCTTCCAAACCTGTTTTCTGCTGCTGGAAGGACGCCTAGGCTGGGGTGTTGGAGGGACACGGCACCTGAAAGGGCTGAGTCAAAGCCATCTGCAAGTCCGTGAACTCATAACTAGGAATGGAGGTTGTGGATGCCCCATCCTTGGAGGAATTCAAGGCCAGGCTGGATGTGGCTCTGGGCAGCCTGGTCTAGTGGTTGGCGACCCTGACCATGGCAGGAAGGTTGAAACTAGAAGATCTTTGAGGTCCTTTTCAACCCAGGCCATTCTGTGATTCTATGACATGGGTTTAAAAGAAAGCTGTGGGATACTGTCACCAAAACACTCCTTGTGGTCAAACGAGGAATTCAAATAAAACAAAGTTTGAGACTTATATTTCATAGAATCACAGAATGGCTTGAGTTGGAAGGGACCTCAAAGATCATCAAGTTCCAAAACCCTGCCACAGGTAGGGCCACCAATCTCCAGATCTGGTACTAGATCAGTTTGCCCTGTTTGATACCATTCACCATCTTATCTTGCAACCCTGATACCAGCGAGATAAGGCATGCAGAACCTCATCATGCAGAAGAGGAGAATTTTTTGTAACCTTCCTTGGTGCAGAAGTGGGGAGCAGCACTGAGCGTTCATTCTTAGTGATTCTAACAGCCAAGAGCCTTTAAAATATACTGCTGTGCTCATAATATCTTGCCAGTGTTTCACGTTAACCTTTAGACTATTTGAATTTAACTCTGTAAGTAAGCTGGATAGCTTTCCAAAATGGTAGATAATATAACAAAATAGGTACAGATATGAATGAATCTGTGTGAACAAAGTAGTTATTAACATTGGAATGATTTATGTGATAATATATGATTCTGAGATAGCCTCTTAGACTTCTACATGTAGGATGTCTTTTGTTAATTTGCACACAGAACTGCTAATAGTTAGGCGTCCAATATATAAACTAAGCCAAGCTACAGAATTAAACTCAGGGCAGCAGGAAAGAAAAGACTGCTTCTTTGGTACTCTGCCACGTATTGGAAAAGGACATTGGCTCAAAGGTCCGTGTTTGTTAATAAAATCAGAGTTAAGGCTCCTTGTTCTAGATTTGCATGCAAAGCATCAATAAAACTGCATAACAATAAACTTTCTTGTGACAGCATGTCAGAGACTACAAGAGTTTAAAAAGAAAAAAAAAAAAGCTAAAAATGGCTGTCTAGGTGCCTGCTTGAGTTTCACACTTCTGAATTAATTTTACCATGTGCTTGGGTTTGTGCTTGTCTGAGTTCTGCAAAAAGTTAGATTTACCATGTAGTAGATAGTAAACCAGGAATGTCTTTATGTAGCATTATATTCCACCTTGCATTCACGTTTTAAAATGTTTTGGTCACTGCAATGGAAGCAGAGCTTAAGCTGGCAGGGGTACATAGCAGAGTTCCCATCAGTGCTGCAGGAACCATGCACTCTGCACTGAGCAGAGAATGCATCACGAAGAGCTGACGGCCAGGTTAGACTAACTCAGTAACATGACTGATATTTCTCTCGTACAGAATCTGAACCTGCTTTCCTCCTAATTCCCTGATGCGTATCACTGCCAGCCCAGAGCCACACGCACACGTTGCAGGAGCCATGTGAAGAAGGGCAGAAGGATACAAAGCAGAAGGCTGAGAGGTTGGAGCAAAAGGCTGGAGGTGGTGAGATGTGAGGTCAGTACCTGATTTCATTAGCACAGGAGGAAGGGGAGAGAGCAATTCTCATCTGATGGGAAAGATGAAATAGGGGAAATGAAGCACAAAACTTTTCTAGTTTACTTATTAGTACAATATGTAATTGGATGGAAGTAGCGGGTTTCAAAAATTTGTCTTACTATAATGACTATAATTTTTTAGAGATTGAAAATGAATCTGACGAGAAAATACCATTAAACTACCAACTTGCTTAAAATTTAAAGGGTAATTCACATATAATGCTTTTATTTAATAGCCCAATTTACAAAACGTCTAAAATTAATGCAGATCTTTTCAGGACAAAATCAGCTGTAACTGCACCAACTAATTTTTGCTCATTTGAACTGAATTATTAATAAGAGAGAAATATACCATATGTTCCCAAAAGAGCTGGATACATTTATTTCAAATAAAATCGCTGTGTTTGGTGGAATATAAGAGGTTTAAATGCTTTCAGAGAAATGGGTTACTTATATACTGATTTAATAGAGTATAAATCAGGCTGCATAATTAGGGACACAGCTGTTTCCCAACCTAAAGCTGGCAGCTTTTGTTGGTTAAGTTCTTTTATCACCTGCATGGCTTTAATCAGCAATAATTTGTTCTTCTTGTGGAGTATTACAAGTTAATCAATATTTTTGCTGTTTGTACTGTGCTGCAAAAGAGCTTTTATGGCAGGTTGAGTTTAAACCAGGCATGCCTTCTGTTGGCTTGTTCAGTTGATTTATTTCACTACGTTGTGTTCCTGATACTAATTGCAAATGAAAGTAAAGGGATATGTTGGTAACAAGCACAGCCTCTGCCTACACCAGGTACAGAGATAAATGGCTTTAACTTCTTTATATACAGCTTCTTAGTTTTGTGTTATCTACATATTTGGGTGCAAACCTACATCTCTTGACTCTATCAGCTAAAGCAATGAGAAAACTTCACTCCTTAGAGCTTGCTTGCAGATTTCCTTTCTGCCTCTGCCTATAGACCAAGGAAAGGGAGAAGTGGTATTTCTGACCTGACTGTGGTAGCAGTGCAATGGCTGGGGCCAGTGGGGGAAATGGCAGGACAGCAAGAACTGTCCTGAGAAGTCACTGTCATTAAGTGTGAGCTGCCACTGTATCTTTAACTATTGAGATTTTATTGAGATTGATATTAGGTAGCTCAGATCTCCAGAATCAATACTCAGGTGCAATAGCAAACTTTTGCAAGTTAGTTTTTTTCATGTACAACTTGCACTCATTTTTGTCCTCTACTAGGAATCTAAGTGAACAAGCAGTTCAGTCTGATTAATATATTATTTTCAAATACCTATCAGGATGCATAGGTATTAAAAAAAAGAATGTATATGAGAACAAAAGAGAGATACAGAAGTTCTTTGACCTCAGTATGGGCTACATACACAGGAGAGAGGGATGGAATTCACTGGTGTGCATGAAAACAGCAAAATGGCTTTAGTTCAAGTTTAAACAGTCAGACTGAGCTGTTACTTGAATTTTCCCTTGTCCTAGCAGTGTTAAAGAACCTAGATCAAATCCCAGGGAAACCAGCACAGAAGCTCCTCTCTCCGTTAGTATTTTGGATCAGGGTGGGGACTTCAGAAGGTCTATTTTGAGTTGAGAGATATACAATATATAACATCTGTTATATAAACATATATATGTAAAAGACACATGTTTCCTAAAATGCTTAGACTTTACAGTACACTCTTTTTAAAAGCCTTGGTGGACACTCTATAGAATGTGGCATCTCCTGATGAAATCCTCAAATTGCAATTGGCCACATGATCACCACCGACTGTTCAACTACTTGTTCAACAGGAAAAAAAGAAAAGCACAATTCAAATTTAAACAAATTGCATTTGAGTATTTTAATTTTGCATCTAAGATGATCTCTAGCCTAAATAAGCCTGTGAAAATTCGCCTCCACAAAAGGCATTTAATTTTTCAATGTGGCACTTTTGGGGCTTCTGCAGAACCTGCTTCAAGTAAGATGTTCCTGTAGCTGCAAACAGAACTCTATTTTTATCTGGGGATGAGGGAAAGAGGCAGAACGACCTGTGAGCCATTTCTGCCACCAGATTTTTATTTTAAAGACTTACACTTTGAGCACATCTTCTACTTCTGTAGTCTTTCTCATTGGCTTCCAAGGCATACACATAAATAATCACATTTCTTGCTTTTAGAGCCAGAATATTCTTTTAAAACCCCAAAGAGGCAATATGCAACTTAAATTAGAGAATTATGTTCACTCACAAATTATGCTTTAAAGAGACTTTGTGTTTTGCTATACGTCTTGCTCAGAGGGAACTTCTACGTTCACAGATTCCAGCTGTGCAAGCTGTAAACATTTTTATGCTGTAACTTTTGCAGACTGAGGAGGTTCTCTGTATTTAGATTTGGTCCAAAGGAGCTGCCTTCAAAGGGCAACCTCTTGCACCTTCTATCCAGCTCTTTGTCCCCAGTGACAAATAAAGGACCACCAAGAGGAACAGTCTGAAACTTCAAATGTAAAAATGCATGAACTCTTCCTCTTCCAGTCAAGATAAAGGTTTGACATGTATATGAGGAAAGCAAGAGTTTTGCAGTGATGCGCTTTTCTTTTCTCCTTTGCCAGCTCAGATAGCTGCTGTGTGAAGGTTCCCCTGACATGCTTACGCTCATGTTTAGTACATTTGTGCCCAAGGTTTACTACAGGTAACTGTCCAGGTTTGATACCAATGGGAATTCTACAGAGATAGTATGCCTGAACTAATTTTCCACATACATGTGCTCCACAGTGCATGCCCATGTAAATGCTATGAATTTCCATCAGCATATGCTCCAGAAGAATCACTATGCAAGCAACACCTACCTTAACTCCTCTTAAAAACCCTTTTTTTTCCCTTCCTTGATGAACTGCAGTAACAAAAAGTGTTGCCTTGAACCTGAGAAGGATCCTTCTCTGTAACTGTATCCTCATATTCTCCAATGTTCACTGTTTAGCAAGTGCTTCTCAAGGCAATTCCTCCTTCCTCTGATGCTAATGAAAGAAGTGGAATAAGAAAGCCTGACTCTTCCAGTGTCTCCAAATATAAAGACTTCCCACCAGGCACATTGTAGGCAATTTCAGTGCCTGATGTAACATCTGCATTCACAGCAATTTCCTGCCGCCTGGTGAATCGAGGGTAGAAGAACACAGGGTGAAGGGTCTTGGTCAACAGATCAACTCCTTGACTCTTCCCATGGCTGACTTGCATGACTGAAAGTTCTTATTTTTCACCATTAAGAGAAATAAAAGTTAAAGCTCCTTCATGAATTTTGATCTCCAGAGATTCTCCTTCTATTGATGATCAAGCACTCAGGGAAGAGAGAATTTCTGGAGTGGGCTGATTAATTTGTGATTTAATTTCATTTTTCCTTGCTCTTCCAAGTGTTAATTACAGTTAATAACAGTAATGGAAAAAATATTTGGGAACAAAGAGCTTATAATTTTTATCTTGTTGCTACTCAATAACTGCTGTAGGTATAAATCAATATATTTAAGAAAAAAAAATGCTAGTAATTAATGAGACAGCACTTTTTATGCACAGAGAAAGTAGCTTTTCTCCCACGTATCTAATACCAACTGCAAATTTATGCATAGCTTTGGAGGTCTGATTCCCTAATTCTTAATTTTGAAGTGTTGGAAAAAATGGGTGAGGGCTTGTAAACAAGATATATTTGGTCATTCTTCCAATGTACTTTGATCTATGTAATAAAGGTCAGCATTCAGTGCTTCATTCTACATTCTCCCAAATATCTAATTGCCTAATTATTGCATTATTTCACAGCCAATCAGTTGAAAGGGTTTGTATGGGAGCATGGCAGAAAAAGAGGGCTGTCATTCTTTGGTTATGGTCCTATAGTTCTAATTCAAGAATTAAATATCTGTCTTTTCTAAAAGTCATTACATGATTTATTGGAAAATTGGTAGAAACAGCCCTGGGGGGTTGTGCTCAAAATCTGGTTTAGAAGAGTGGCTGCTAGCTATGACTTTTGATTTTCTTCTATCAAAATGAATAGCACTGCCTGTTTCTATGCAAATTAAATGTTTGAATGTATTTTTTTTAAGACAGACTATATTTGTTAATTTAATTGGGTTTCTTATGCAATAGGGTGATTTGTGTTTTGAATTTTTTTTTTCTTTTTAAATGAGGAAGGCAAATTCTTCCCTAGAAGTGCAGTACTGCTTTTTCTGTTGTTTGATGGCCCTAAAACGTCTGCAGAAATTGTAGGTCAAGAATTACAGCCACGGTAAATCATGCCTCATGAATGAGAAGTCGTCTGTGATTTCTCTAGGGTTTTTTTTTTCTTTTTTTTTTTTTTGGTCTGTCTTTAAAATGAATGTAATATTCAGAAGAAAATAAAGCCTCCTTTGGCATAATTGACATAGATATGAACTGTATCAAAATATTTATGACGTTCCAATCTGACATCTAGAATTTAGGCTATATCTAGCAGAGCCTCTATCAGTAACCTCAAGAAAAAAAAATTAACAAGATTTATTCCAGCTTATTATTTTTAAAAACATAATTAAATTTATTTTCTTCATATAAAAATGATGATTACTTCTCATCACGAACCAAGAATGGAAGCAGGAAGGGGAGGGGGCAGCTCCTGTAGTGCAGTCTCTGAGAGATGGTGCCCGAAACTCCTGTGCTGGGGAGCAGCTGGGGGTCACCCCAATTCCTCTTCATAACTTATTCACCTCCAGCTCTAGAATAGTTGATCCACTTCTGTAAAGCTACTTGACAATACAAGTGATTGGCTTTTGGTGCTGATCTTGTACATGCGGCTAGAGGCAGAAGAGGAGCAACCTTGTGGTTTAGTTCACCTTTGTCTCTACAGAGGGCTCCTCCTGTTTCATGCTTCCCAAGCTGAAGGCTTAGTAAAATCAGTAATTGCTTCTGCCTTTCTTTCCACCTTTTCTGCCAGAGTATATGGTAAAAAAGGGACAAAAGTAACGATGGTGGAGAAAAAAGCCACAAAAGGACAAGCTTAAATGCAGAAGAGGAATTAACTTCAGTATTTATGTATCTGATAGATTATAAGAAATTTCATATTGTACTGTCAGCAGCTGGACCCACGTAATAGCCCCTAAAGGTTCAAAGAGCAAATAACAGGCATATCAGATGCAGCTGGGCAGATACAATAGATTGAACATCTCCAAAGAACTCCCATTAGAGTCCGTTGGGTCAATAACCCACAAACTAAGAAGGATTTACATGATAGACCGTAACAGCTGTTTGGAAGCCATTACATTTTGTCAATGCAAAATCCAGTTTTCAAAATATTGTGATATACTTAGTTATGTGAGAGGCCCTAATGGCACTGAAGCTGCCATTCCAAGCTGCAGCATAATAAATATATGGCACCTAAGTTTGAAACAGAATCACAATAGGTTATTTACTTGACTCCTTGAAATAGCTCAGAGAGATGCCACTGCACTTCTTTGAATGAAACTGAAAACTTAGAACAAAGCAATCAGTGCGTGCAGTGCAGTTACAAATACAATGTACTTGCATTGAGGAAAAAAAGACAGAAATATCCTTTTCTACATTACTCTGCCATGCATTCAATGGTGATGCTGGAAATACTGGAGTAATGTTGTGAGCCTTTTCCAGGTGCAACCAAACTGGATGAAATCTGTACAGGAGGACGGAGGAGATGCTGCTCTGCCCTTGCTTCCCATCACTCTTTGCTCAGGGTGTCCAGAAATTAATTCCAGTTCAGTTAAATTTAGAGCAGCCTCAAAATTCCTCTAATTGATGCCAGGGAGAGGGACTTTCTGTGCACCAATTTCATTCTTTTCTTTGACAGCTGTGCTCACTGCACTGCTCCAGAGAGAAGCCTGCACCAGTGGAAGCAATCAGAGGGAAAAGAGAGGGGATTCCCAGTTTTTATTGACCATTTCTTTTGTGCCAGGACAGAGGTATTAATTGGGCACAGAAAACAGCAGGGTCTAGCTCCGTTTCCCCAGATGTTTGTAGGGTAAAATGATGCAAAAGTAGAGCATACCAAGAATATTGTTGCAGTTACACGCTAAATCTGCAAAAGACCTCAACATTAAAAATTAATCTCAGGACTTTATTATTCCTTTGTAACTCAGCACTGCAATGATCTCTGTGTAGCGGAGGTCTCTGCAGTGCTCATATGTGCTCTTACGCTCAGGCAGAATGCCATGAATTAAGGATGGAGGGCAAACCTTGCCTTTGAATTTCCTGGCTTTTGTTAGTTTGTGTCATAAACTCAACATTATTCAAATCTAGGGTTTTGTGTTTAATATTATCAAACGCCTCCTCATCAATGCCAAGCCTGTAATTGGTCACAGTGAATAGGTGATTAGACAGATAAAGTGCAATTGTGATTGTAAAAACTATCACCAGGTTTGCAGAGGACAATAATTATGTAGCTTACAATGTTTGAAAATATTGCCTAAATCTCTCTCCCACATGTTGTTTGTGATGGAAAACAATTACACAAAGGATTCTTTTTCTAAGCTGCCTCTGATTCAGATTTGCCTGATGAATGGTCTTTATACTGAAACCCAGAGCATTTGTTCCAAGTAAATTATATGTCACTGCAAATGCAAAAGGTCTGCTTCACAATGTTTATTGGGATAAATTAAATCTTCTAAAGATGGTAAACAGAAGGCCTCAATAATTATTCACTTCTGTATAGTTTAAACTGAAAAGGATGTTGCAGTTAGGAGGATGGAGATGAGGCAAACAACACTCCCCGCATTGTGTTAACAACATAAGAGGTACAATAGGGAAATTTAATTTGATACTGATCTACATGAGGCACAACACAGCAACACAGTTTCAAATGCTACTTTTCTAATGGCAGCCTTTGAATTGCAAATCTCCACCAAACCCACCTGAATCATTACTTGAACGCGTTCCCAGTGAAGTCAAGGAGTTCTCTCATTGGCTTCCAGAGGGCAGGAGCGGGCTCTGCCTCCTTGTGATTTCAGGCAGTAGACATAAAATCCAATGGATGCTTTCCTTGGGGAAGGCTTGATTCTACAAGGTGACTGGCAAGCAGGCAGCTTGACAAAAAAGAAGCTGCTGGCCTTTGCTGCAGCAAGCCCAATTTCTCCTTGCACTGAAAGGTCAAATCCCAGAATAGTCTGCAGCCCTTTTGTAAGTGCTTTTCTCAGAAGGGATACTTTTGCCAACTGGCACTGATTTGAAAATGTTCTGTCACTTCTGTGGGCCGTCCAAAGCGTGACAATCTTTCATTGAATGCTGTTGGGCCCCCAGTGGAAAATTGCTCTGAAGATGGCAGAGCCTTTCAGAGCAGAAAAGCCTTTGGTGGGTGCTTCTCATCACACCTCCAGCGTCACAGAGCTACATGCCATGTACCAGCACAGAAAATCTCTAGTGCCTTGTCACGTCATGTGAGAACACTTTGACTCATAGGGAAAAAGGTTCAGTGGGCCATCTTTGCAATTATAGTGTATTCTCCTTCAAAAAAACCAGATGAGGTTTAACAAAAGCAAGTGTAGAGTCTTGCATCTGGGGAGGAATAATTCCATGCACCAGTACAGGTTGGGGGATGACCTGCTGGAGGGGAGCTCTGCGGAAAGGGACCTGGGTGTCCTGGTGGACGGCAGGTTGGCCATGAGCCAGCAGTGTGCCCTTGTGGCCAAAAAGGCCAATGGCTTACTGGGGTGCATTAAAAAGAGCGTGGCCAGCAGGTCAAAGGAGGTGATCCTCCCCCTCTACTCTGCCCTGGTAAGGCCTCATCTGGAGTACTGCGTCCAGTTCTGGGCTCCCCAGTACAAAACAGACAGGGATCTCTTGGAAAGAGTCCAGCAGAGGGCCACGAAGATGGTGAAGGGCCTGGAGCATCTCCCCTATGAAGAAAGGCTGAGTGAACTGGGTCTGTTCAGCCTTGAGAAAAGAAGACTGAGAGGGGACCTGATCCAGGTCTATAAATATCTGAGGTGTGGGGGGCAGAATGGCGAGGCCGGACTCTTTTCAGTGGTGAGTGGAGACAGGACAAGGGGAAACGGCCGGAAACTGCAGCACAGGGAGTTCCTCACAAATGTGCGCAGGAACTTCTTTACAGTGAGGTGACGGAGCACTGGAACAGGCTGCCCAGGGAGGTGGTGGAGTCTCCTTCTGTGGAGATGTTCAAGACCTGCCTGGATGCCTACCTGTGCGACCTGCTGTAGGGAACCTGCTTTGGCAGGGGGGTTGGACTTGATGATCTCAGGAGGTCCCTTCCAACCCCTACAATTCTGTGATTCTGTGATTCCTTGAGACTATGAAAAATATACGGGAGTTTTTAAGACTGTTGGTTAATTAGTTTATGATAGGCTTAATATATGGTGAGCGTAATATAAAATTGGATCTTCAATATTTTCAACACAGGTCAGGTCATTTTAGCTGATCTAGTAGTTCATTCTTGTAACTGCTGGAATATTTCTAACTTTTCAGACAGTTAAAACTCTCTGAAATCTCATTCATGGGTTATTCAGAAATGTCCCATGGGCTATTAAAATGTCCTACAGAAAAATATTAGCTGTTACTCAGCTACATTGTAGTCAGTATTAGACTATTTCTGAAAAGAAATAAAAAGAAAAAAAATATTTACTTTGCTTTTAACCCTTGTTTTGCATTTTAGGTGCTTGATTCACTGCAGCACTTCTGGAAAGGTCCTCACCACTCTCCTACTCTTCTTCAGCAGTCTCAGGTACTCCTTGAGCTCACATTCACGTACATTCCCATTCTCTATGGTTGGGGTCATATCTGCTCTTGAACACTTCTGTATTTAAACATCCACAGTTGCTCAGAAAAATGTACATGTTTGCAGGATTTGATGGTTGGATTGGATGATTCTAGTGGTCTTTTCCAACCAGGATGACTCTATGATCATATGATTCTACTTGAAGGCAACAACTGGCTCTTTGTTTGACCCTCCAATTCTCATTACACCCCAAACATCTACCTTGAAAATAATGGATAGAAATCAGAGTGAGAATTTTAGCTGTGTTGTGCAGCGGGGGGAGGGCAAAGAGGTCCTATAGCAGAGCAGATTTGGGAAGGTTGTAGAGATCTATGGGCACATGCACACGTGGAGAGGACAGGCCATAGAAAGCAGACGTGTGTTTCATTGCTTTGAGTACTGCTGGTAAAATGCACGTGAACACATGCTGCATATTCACCTCTGAGGATGGCGCAGACAGTATTTATGAGATGTGGATACTCTCTTTTAACGTTTGCTGCACTTTGTAAATCAAAATACACCTCTGTGAACTCAAGGTTTTTCTCCGCTTAGCAGATGGCCAGAGGAAGCAATTATGTTGTATACTAAACAAGCAAGCTTCTCTTTGCAAAACAAGTCACTAAAATCCTTTATTTGTGAACAAGCGTTTATTAATGACCTTTTTGAATTTTACTAGTGAGCCTCGCAATAATAGGTGGGCATTGTTAGAAATGTAAATGTAAAGAGATAAGGAAATTTTCAGGCAAATCTATATTTAATTTCAAAGAAAGCTGCTCTCTTCTAATGACCCTGTTTGCATGGATATCTGATAGTAAAGCTAGGGGAGGGTCACAGTAGATAAAACCTAACAGATCACTGAATGAAAAACAAATATTTATTTTCTCTTTGTCTCTTTGGGACTCATTTGCATTAAAACTGAAGCATTTCCAGAAACCGTTGGTGAAAATAAAAGCTCATTTATGCATTTAATATTAGGAAAGCACTTTGAGATTGAGGTTGTATAAAAACTGATTCCACTCTGCATCCTCGCCTTTCCAGGAAGAATACCAAGCAGAGAAAAATGCCACAGACATTTTGGTCTGTTGTATACCTCAAATTTGCATTTTATTGCACCGATGTATTTTTATAACTGTATTATAGATACCATTGTCACACTTGGCTTCTTTTTTGAATTTCAGCTCCTATCCTTTGAAGCTGTTTGTCACTTATTTTAACCTTGAGCAATGTCTCATAAACAAAACACCTCCCTCTGTCCATGTTGTCTGACTACCTGAAGCACTCGGGAGGTACCTCTACCAGTCTCCCTGTATGGTGCTCGCAAAACCTTTTGTTCTCATTCAGAGACTTCTTTTAGAAATTAAAAAATCCCATCCCATGGCAGATGCATTTTACTGAATAATTTGTTTGAATTTGCTCAAGTCTGGGAAACTTGAGGTCATCCATTAATTTTTTGAAAGGGTAGGACTGACAACAGATCCACCCAAGCCCATTTTGCACTGTGATGTCTCAGCAGAGACAAGGTTGGCCCCCACCAGCATGGCATGGGCAGCACTGGCCTGTAGCAGAGCTCTGGTCCCTGCATTTGGTGTCTCTGTGCCCATTGCGGTTGCAGTGTCCATCCTTCCCTTGTGGAACAGAATGCAAAACACTGAAGGGGATGCTGGAAAACAAGATGTTTGTGCCAGGTTATCTTGCATGCTGTTTTATTTCTAGCATTGTTACGTTTGACACTCAATAAAGTTAGAAAATGTGATCAGCTCACTGAGGTGGCCTCAAGTTTTATTGTCTGATGGGAATAAGCATAGTGCATAATTCAATTTTTTGAAAGCTCTAATTCAGAAAGCCATACAAGCATATATTTCTTCTAAACGAGTATCTGATTTATTTTTAAGTGATCCAAGCTAAAAAGGATGGAAGTTATACAGTCATCAGGAGCTCTTAATGAAATTTCACATGGAATAGCATTTCATATACAAAATAATTAAGTCTCTGTGTTGATTAACCCGAGTCTTTAGTATTCCTTTCTGAATGGCAGCTTCAGTCTTCAGATTGCCTTTGAAGTCAATAGGAGAAGCTGCGTGTTCGTCAAAATATGGAAGTTATCTTTGTCATTAACCTTGAGAAGCTTCATCGATTATTGGCAGTAAGTAAGATCTGATGGTTTTAGAAAAATAACTGCTTCAAAAACAATTTTCAAGGCATATTTGACAATGAGTTAAATGAAGCCACAAAAATACGGGATGGATATGAATTGGTGCAGCTAGCTCAGAATAGTTTTGTATGGCAGTTCAATTAGCTTTACTGGTGTGCTAAAGAAGGCAAAAATCTCCATTTTGCCATTTCCCAGACAAAATCAGCATCTACCTGTGATGTAGAAATTAATAGAAGCAGAGAACCATCTGAGTACCATGATGACACTCCAATAAGATCGTAGTGCTGAGAAGGCACCACTACTGTGTTGCATTTAAACTCCTTTGCAACTCAGCTGTATTTGAAAATGTGACCATATGATTATAACTCAACAGGGAGCTGCACATGTTCCCCGAGGGCTTGCGAGATGTCAAAAAGTGTTTCTGAAGAGATTTCCATTCCACTTTTTTTATTGGAAAGGACTTTGCAAACCTTGATGATTTTAGCTGCCTAAACAGTAATCTACTGCAATCTAATGATGCTGCTTCTCCAATAGATAAAACAGTATTAATTTCAGTCTTTTTGAATGAGTGTTTGGAAAGTACAAAACTGAGAAGTTTGGGGACTCTGCATTTTGAGCCTCTGAACCATTAAGGGCTGCATGTTTAAACTTTAACTGGCGGAACTGCCTTTCTTTCAATTTTCTCAATATATATTCTACACGATAATGCATTTTTTAACAAAAGGAACTGTGCTATCACTCAACTCAAGGCTTTCTAAGATTAAATAAGTGTCTGGCCTACTTTACTTTGCCTTCATCAGAGATGCTAGAAATAAAAGAAGTCTCTCTGGATGCACTGTCCATCTGTTTCCCAGCAGATGATAATATCTTGTCTGTCTTAGCAAGTTTCAGTAGGCCCAAATATTGGAGATTTGCAATTTTCTTTGCAAGCCAAGTGTATTTCAGCTCCTGCTATCTTTACTTCTGGTAAGTGTCTGCTCTTTACATTCCTCAGAGGATTCTGTGCTACATTCTGTGCTAGAGCAGCCTTCTTTGCCCCCTCTGTTGCCAACTTCCGGTCCATGCTGGAGCCTCTCTAGCTCTGTATCTCCCCAGGACTCCTTTCGAATACTCTGACATATCTCTCTGGTCAGTCTCCTTGCATAATGTATGCATTATGGGACAAGAGAGATACTGAAGGTATGACCACA